TCGCCCCCCTTTAACTTTTTTATTTTAAGTGTCCCAAAAAATTTAAAAGTGTGGTTATGTAGGAACTAAAAAATACTTTTTTTCTACGTATAAAGAAAATTGGAAAATTGATAAGTATACAGGGAAAACAAAAAGTTTATTTTTTTCAATGGATCACCCTATATATGAATTTATTTTTCGATTCCTTGTAAAATTCTAAGCATATTTCATATATCATACCATATACCTAAATTCAACCGTTTCTGAAATATTTAAATTATTTTTAAGATAATAAGTTGAAATAGTTTGTTTTTCTCTGTCTGAGTACGCCATTTTTACTTATTTAACAATACTTATTGACATAATGTCACTATAGTAATTTATTTTCAATAAAAATTTTGGTATACTGAGGCTTCTTGATTTCTAACAGTTTAAAAAAACATTTAATGATGACATTTCGAATGCGAATATTTCAGAAACGGTTGAATTTAGGTATATGGTTTGTTATATAAATTATGCTCAGAATTTTACAAGGAATCGAAAAATAAATTCATATATACGGTGATCCTTTAAAAAAAAATAAACTTTTTGTTTTTCCCTGTATACTGATCAATTTTCCAATTTTCTTTATACGTAGAAAAAAAGTATTTTTTAGTACCTACATAACCAAACTTTTAAATTTTTTGGGACACTTAAAATAAAAAAGTTAAAGGGGGGCGACATTATAGGGGATCACCCTGTACAAAGCAACCAGGTAATAGGGACCAGAAAAAGGTAGGCAACCTAGCTGTTACATATTCTGTATGTTGTATGCTTTCCATTGGAATTTCGTTCATTTGGCAAGCAAGTCGGTGAAATTTAAAAAATTAATTATTTTTTTTTAATTTTTTATTTATTATAGCTAGCCTTGATCATATTTTTTATGGCAACCCTATTGGTTTATGTTCAGAAACATATTTTATTTGATAAAATATAATTTTCATCTGGTAAGCAGATGGGTGAAGGTCGACCTTACTTGGGATCCTCTACTAATAGCTCTAAGGCGCAACTTTGATATAGGTAATACAAAAGAATACGAGAGGAATAATTTAAAATCGAGCTTTAACGTTGCTCTAATAGATGGCGCTAACAGTATCGACAATGCAAATATTTGTAAAAAGTTTATTTCATAGCTACACAAAGTTTTATTAACGATAACTGTTATTTTTGATAACTGTTATTTTTGATAACTTATATATATTATGGCAACATTTTTAACGTGTTTGTCTCAATAATGTTCACGATTACTTTTAATAAAAAATATGGAAATTAAAACAAATTTAAAGGTCACAGCTAAAAATTTAATTTAATGAACTGCCGGCAAAAAATATGAGATATTGAAGGATTCTTCAGAAACAAAAAAAAAGACTTAAATTTTTTAAAATAATTATTAAGTAATGGTAATGGTTTAAAATCAATTATTATATAATAATTATACTTAGGTATTATTAATAATAATAATAATTCTTATTGGTACCATATTGCTTTAGATTTAAAGTATAATCCAACATCAGTTATACTATACAGGGTATCTATTTAAAAACAAGCACGGCTCTATAAGTCTCAATTTTTTTAAATGACAACACCCTCTTTGTGAAAAGTTCTTAAAATTTGCTATTTAACAGTACTAAAAAAATACTTTTTAATAGTCATTTTGAAAAATAACGCAAAATAATTTTTATTTTGTTGTCGTAAAAACATTAGTAAAAAAAATGGAGAACACAATAATTCTAACAAAAGTATTTAAAAGAAACTAAAAAAGCATAAATAAACAAATTGTTTAACAATAATCAAAACACTTAATTTTTTAGCTACACCAAACTGACCAAGAACCTCAATATGGGTGGCTTCATTGAGAATCATATGTTGTTTTTTTTTTCGATTGCAAACGATCCCGTTTGTTTAAATTTTGCAACCAGCTCTTGAACATATTTATGACGCACATATTTTCCAGGGTGTAGTTCATTAAATGGTACTGCTGTTCCTAGAGCACAACGATTTTTTTGCACCATAAATAAAATTAATTTCAACACGTTGAGCCGTTGTGTAAATCAAAATCAAAAAACAATACTAGGTATATAAAATATTAAAACTATAGTTATAATTATAATCAGCATGAATAGCATTCTTTTTTGCAAGTTTTTATAAATTCTATACAAATAATCTATAAAAAACATACACATTCCATTAAAGATTTAAATTGTTTAATTAATAATGCCAATATATTTCGCGACAAAAATTTTAAAATAGTTAAAGACTATTTAAAAATATTGTTTGCATTTAATTTAAAAAGCTAAAAATTAAAGTGTTTTATGATTGTTAAACAATTTGTTTATTCATACTTTTTTAGTTTTTTGTGTTCTCCAGTTTTTTTTAATAATGTTTTAATAAAACAAAATGGTTTAATTTGAAATTTATAACGAAAAATTAAACTTTTAAAAAGTATTTTTTTTGTACTGTACTAAGAAAGTAAATCATTCGATTATACTATAGTTTGTCCCCGGATCGAGTAACTATACTTTTTTATTTTTCGTTTTAGTAGAAAAAGTCATAGTTAGTCACAGTTTTTCTTATTCTATTAATTCCATAGCCTACTTTAAAATTTTAAACCAAAATACGGCTTAACTGCTGCACATTTTTCAGATTTCAAAATTTTTCGTAGGTACACACAATTAATACGTCGTTTATCTGACAAAGAGGCGTATCTCATTTTTAAACAAAACGGTGTGAATTGAATTACGCCAGTTTGTACGGCACACAAAATGCAAAAATATTAGTTACGCCGAAACTGCTTTATGCTAAAACTTTATTTGTACCTATTTATTATAGAGCTACGCCAGTTTGTGAGATTATAAAGTCGATTTTGGTGATCATTCTGGTATAACTCAAAAACGAATTTTTTTGAGTTACGCCTCTTTGTCAGATAAACGACGAATAGTATGCTCATTCATTTTGCCTATGGCAGAGGAGTGGAGATCATTAACATAAACTTTTTTCTTAATAATGTTCTTTTTATTGGTGTAGTGTCCATCCATTTGTTTTTTATCATTATTTAAGTATAAGCTTAGTTGAATTTATATAAATATTTACTTTAATCATAATATCAAAAGTAATAACTTTAAGTTACATTGTTACATTGTTCACAGGTATTGTTATTGTAAACATCTTTTTTCCATACGGTTTTTTAAATTCTTTATAAAACATTTACTTTATACTTGACTTAATTTTACTTTTTTTGACTTTCCACTAAAATGCAAAATAAGAAAGTTCTCCAGTATAGTTATGTCCATCTAGAGCCACACTGTAGTGTAAAAAACAATATACTCCATTTTATACCGTAAGTTCTACATTCTACTACTGGATATTTTCTTCTTTTAATTAATAGCCACCTTACTTAAAAATAATAATTTTCAAAATTATGCAACTTTTATTTCGATTTTCATCAGTGCGTTAAGGCCACCAAGCTTTGACAGTAATAAAAGAGAAAAGTCAGAAAGGTTAAAGCCTAAGTCATCATTTCCGCAGCATGAATACTTAAAATATTCGAATTCAATTATACAATGTACGGCTAATTATAATCCCCTTAATTAAATATAAGGCTACAAATGGGTACCACCTATGTCGATCCGGCCTATAAATATCGACCGCATCACGTCGATCAATTAATAATTAAAAATATCATTATTTCATATAACAATGAACGAAGAGCGCGGGACGGTGTATCAAATAACAAAGTAGTTAAATAAATTAGCGAGAGCACAGGCACAGGTCAAGCTGTAATGGAATCATTAAAGATTTATGTCGCAGCTCCGCGCGTACTTTGTCAAATTTTCGGCGACGGTCCAATCACAAATCAAAACAAGGGTTTGGTCAACCTCCAAAATAGTGTCCAAGAATGTTTTCATACTTTTTGTGTGTGTATAAAGACCATATAGAAAGGTTTGAACAGTTTATCTGTTTACATTAATTTTCTCTATAGTTCAAACTCTTCTATAAAACAACGTAATAGTATATTCTGTAACAAGTTTGGAATACAGCATATTCCGCTCGAGTGAAGAGTTTGTCACACGAGCCGATGGCGAGTTTGACGGTTTCACGAGAGCGGAATATGCAATTCATAAGAAAAATCTTAAGCCTTCTCGTAAAATAATCCAAACTAATATTTAAATGAACTAATATATATATATATCATAAAATATTTTTAAATATCATGTTGCATCAATAATTTAATTAAATTGTAATAATTATATTAAATTTGTGACTGGATCGACACTTAAACTATCTCAATATTCTGCAAAACAGTCGATATAACACTGGCTCGGGAATTAAATTATGTATTTAATTAAATTTATTTACAGCAGTTAATAATGTATTAATGAAACAGTTGCTATTAATGTGTTCAAATGTTTAATTTCATTGTGGCGTTTTATGTTTAATTTATATAAAATTATTGATTTCAGCTAGACGAACTTAGTGTTAGTTCAATTTTCCCGGAGTCCAACCTACAACCCCTAAATATATTGTTACGTTACATTCTACTTGCAAATTCATTGTAACTACGTATACATATTAAATTGTATTTTTTTAAATTTAAACTTAAGGAACCTGTAAACACAAACAGGACCTGTTTATTTCGAGGTAATGTTAACAAAATAGTCACGTTTGCAATGTTTAATTTTAATTATTAATATTTGTGTAAACATTAAAAAGATCTAGTAAACCGAGTGTCGACTAAAGGTTGGTATAGTATTATTAATATTTACCTCAAACAAATACTATAAACGAAAAACTAATCTAAGTAAATTTCGGTATTTTTGTACCTTACTATCTAAATACTAAAGAGATTTTAACAAACATTTTAAAAGAATGTGGCTTTAAAGCTTAACATTGTTTTGACGAAATATTTGAAACAATTTAAGAATTAAAATACATTCTTTTAAGAATCTAATTATAAAATTATATTAAAAACTAGTAACACTTACCGGCAATAGAAGAAGTAGATGCAGCTCCAAGCCAAGCGTGTGATGATTCCAATAGTTTAGCCTGAAAAAAAATATTTACATTAGTTGATGGATTTCAATTACTGCGAAGCAAGTAGAAATTTATCGAGACCTCCTATGGAACGGCCTTAACAATACATTTAGACGTATGTTGCATAAAATTACATTATTGAATTCCTGGTTTACGATTGTGCTACCTATACAAAGGGAGCCAGATCTCCAAGTTGGACTCATACTGGATTCATGTCCAGCTTGTTAAAAATACTTTATTGTTCCATTTGATGTATTCAAGAAGTCTGCCTGTCTCAGCAGTCAAATTTAAGTGGTTGTCTCCATCCGCTCTTACTATAAATATGGAATAAACTATAATAAACAAAAGGGAATATCTCTTTTATGTGCTTTGTACGGGCGTCGTTTCCAGTTTATATATACATTGGGCATATACTAAGTAAGTTTAATGTACACATCCTTTGTGGATTGGACGTTTTCTAGACTTAAATAAATGCCTTTTAAAATTCTTCGAATCAGTTTTAAAATAGTCATCCACAAAATTATTGATTAAGTTGTAGTATGAAATAAATTAACGATATAATAAAAATTAGTAAAATTTGTGGTGATATTTATGCACGCTTGGCTGGCACATACACAAGTATAATAATAAATTATGAAACGCTAAAATTGTGATAATAAATAATTATGCGCGCCAGAATTTTAATTAAATTAATATTAGCCGTTCAATAAGACAGAAAACAATGCGCCCAAGATGTAATATTCATAGTGGAAAAGCCTTTGACTTTAACAATTTATTCGCGCTTTAAAAATTCACTTCCTTGCCCGTAAAAGCTTCAAAGCAACCCCTTTTTTTTACCGGTCGCCTCCTGCGCCCCCCGCGCAATCGCTCGTCACGTAGAATGACGTCACTTGCCCTTCTTAGTGCATTAACAATTCACCGCCATTAATACTTAATTGTATTTGTGCTAGCTATGAAATTTACATGGCTCACTAACAATGTTTTTATTATGCATGTTGTTGTATTTTAAGTAATTCATGGCCCCAGTTAATATTTGTGCGATTCAAATGCCTCCCCTGCCTGCTACATTAATTACAACAAACTAAGTCACTAACTCTTTATCAAGCTTTGTGCAATGTATATCTGCTGCTTTAAATTTATATTTTTTCATTAAATATTTTATTGTGTTGTTAATTTTTTCATAAAGCTTTTAAAAAATCATTCTTTGTGCAAAAAAGCTTTGAAATATTTACAAGCACACTTTATGATTTAGGCTTTTATTGTGTGAATTATGAATGCGATTTTTTATATTTATAATCGTGCCTACTAATAAATCTTGATTTTTATAGTAAACTATGTAATAAAAAATAAAAACGGTGTATTTTACCTAGACTAAAAACATGCAGCAGTCAAATTTCGTTTTTCGAAAAAAATATTTATTTATTCGTCTTTATTAATGTTGTCGCCTTCAAAATAGTCCCCATTGGATATTATGCACATGTGCCAGCTCTTCTTCCAATACTCGAAACACTCCTAAAACTCGATCTTTGGGATAATTCTTTCAGCGATGCGCTTTTAATGTCATCTATAGTATATATGCTTGCAAAACGACGGCCCTTTAAGGTTCTCTTTATTTTTGGGAATACGAAAAAGTCAGACAGAGGCATGTCTGTCGAATATGGAGGCTGGGGCATCATTACAGTATTGTTTTTGGCCAAAAGTTTCGTTCAAAATTTAACAATTTTGGAACAAATTTTGCTGCCACGCGTTTCATACCCAAAACATTCGAAAAAATTTCATGGGATGAGCCAATCGGTATACCAACATCATCAGCGACTTCTCTGATGGTTAATAACCATTTCTTCCACAATTTCCATGTTTTTATCGGTTGTTAATGTGCTTGGGCGTTCGGGGCGTTCGTCATCTTCAACCACAGACCACCAAAACAAATGGACGGATTTGTTTACGTTTAAAAAGCGAGTAAATCATAGTTTCACATTCTAAACACCGTCGAAAAAAACACGGCTTCCAACGTTGTCAGAAGTATAGATTAGACGCCTTTTTGGACGTTCATCATAACATAATGAACATTAATAATTACCAGTAATTCGTTTGAATAATAAAAAAATTGTAAAAAGGATTTGTTAATCATTTTCTTTAGATTTTTTCTCTATTTAAAGAAAGTAAATCATTTTATAATTATTAAACTTAAATTTTAACAACGTTGGCAAATTTGTCATATTTGACAGCATAGAAAAAGGTTGACAGCTTGTTGTTTTGTGTTTTCGTTTGTGTATTTCTATCGTGTTTAAGTTAATTATGGAGTTTAAATATCTACATTATTTTTTACTAAAAATAACAGTACACGGAAATATCGTTTGTAAGTACCTACCTACTTATTATTTTTTTAATCCCAATACGTCACTGAAAGAAAACATAAAATTCTATCGCCAATTTAACGCTTAGACTGTGACAGTTTGTTGACGTCACTGGAAGAAAACATAAAATTCTATCTCCAATTTGACGCTTAGACTGTGACCGTTTGTTGACCGCAAACAAAGCATTGTTATTGAATGGCAATGCGCCGTCCATTTGTTTTGGTGGTCTGTGTCTTCAACGTCTTCACGGCCATCTTGGAAACTCTTATACCACTTGTAAACTCTTGTTTTACTTATAGCCGACTCACTATAGGCCTTTGTTAACATTTCACAAAATTTATTTAATTTTTTAAGCAAAATTGGATACAAATTCTTTGATCCATTTCTTTTAACGAACGAAAATCGCCGAGCTCATAAAACACGTCTAACCTTAGCGGCTGCCACAGACAAAGTAAGCAATGAAAACAGCTAAAGTTTTTATCATACTTCGGGGGCATGTATACCAACATAATAAAATTTTTTTATGACAACCGGACCCTCCGAACCCGCGAATTGTAACAATTCCCGTTATTTTATGAACACACCTCGTATATATTTATATATATATATATATACAGCCTGTTCAGGCACTAGCGAGTGTCTATAAAAGTTTATCCCACGAATACAAAGAAAAATTTAAATCGAATTTAATTTGATATCTGATTACTGTCCGAAAAATTTAACCTTACTTTTTACCAATCTATAATAATGCTTGAAGTAATACTTCAACCCGTGACTAAAAATCCCCAGTCTTTAATATACGTGTGTCTAAAGGAGTTTATAAAACGAGTTGCATACTATACTGATACTAATCTGAGATCTGCCAGACTGTTCTATTCTCAATTTTAGTAGCATCATTTTGACGATTGTATGACATACAACGCCATAAAATCAATGCGTAAAAAGATCAATTAGCGTAATGGAAACATACCTATACCATAATATGTGTTTTAAAGGTGGGAGTAATTTACAATTTTAGTTATATGCCTATGAGACAAGTGCTTTGACACAATACATGATGTATGTATTTTATAATTAAAATCACATCTGAAAATAACTATATGCGCTTATTGCACAATATTAAGTTTTTTCTTTATATAATCAAAACCATTATAAACTCTCCACCTAACAACGGGAATAATGAACTCATTATTCACGAAGTCAGGCCGATTTAATATTTACTGTTATTTAAACCAATCGGGTTTTAAATTGAAGGAAGGCGACTATAATTATATTTAAAATGGGTGGAAAGTGAGGTTAACAAACTAACAGATTTTATTTATGTATTTTTTAAAATCATTTAATTATCTGCTAATTGGAGAAAATAAAGTATAATATTACACTCGAGATTATGAGCATTATTTACTTAGATTATTTGAGTCTCTCGTCTGGAGACTCGAGACGCAAACCTCATCCAAGTGAATAATATCCTGCATTATATCTGGTATAATAATATACTAATATTACACTGACCTTGTTTATTTTAATTTAATTTTGAGAATCTTATTTCATATTTCAGGTACATAATACCAGAAATTTATTTAAAAATAAAAAGCCGATAATCGTTACTACTTTGATATATAAACGTTGCATATTTTTTTGCAACCTCAAATCTGAAAAAAAATATAATCATAGTATAAATATTTACTATAATTTTAAGTTGTTAAATTTTAAAAACTTTATTAAAAAATAAACTCCTCAAAATTAGGTTTATTACCCCGGCGCACTCGCCATTTTCGGCGTAAATTAATCTTGTCTGTTTCGCTGCAAAAAAGCGATTAAAAAGTTTGCACTGGACAACTTTCTGCACCATGAGTGTGTCGGACGCGTGTCAACACTGTTGGTGTCGGAGCTAAGGGACCGATCAGATTAATTATGTTTTGGTCGTTCCCAAATGCAACAACATCAAATGCCAAATACGGAATGTGGAATCCTTTTAATATTCAGTAAACATTTTATAACACAATTTGTATGAACTTTGGTTCTCAATCGAATGCGTTGTGTTTAAGTATCATATAACGACAAGATCGTTTAGCGAAGAGTGATGACAGGTGACAAGTTGTTAGCGATAAGCAGATGATTCGACTTGATGACGGGAAGACAGCCACCATGTGTGTTCGCCGCTACAACCGTCTCGATAAAGCCAAAAGCAAATTGTAAACGACGCTTGCATTTGTTAAAACAACATAATATACTTGTTGGGACATAGTGTTTATGATGTCGTTTTATTTAACTAACAGGTTGTCTTGATTAAAGAAGATATGCCCAGCTGTTGCGAATAAAAATAGTTTTCAAATAAAAGGTCGTTAGATTCGCTCACAGGTTGTTTCGGGAGTTATTATGTCTATATTTTTTATTAGCAGCTGTTAGAGGAATATCTAAAGATAGTCAATAACCATAGGATGCGATTTCGTTTTGGCAGCGATATGAATATAAAAGGGCTTCGAATCGTTCTTGCATTAGCATAATGGAGAAAAACATTAGGAGGCCGACTCGACGAAATCGTGGCTTATTAAAAAAAGGTAAAAAGAGGCGACGACATCCGATAAATGCACTCGGGGCAATCGCTTATCGTGGAACGCTTTAGGTACTAATTGTGACAAGGTGTTTATACGAGATTTTAATGGCCGCTGTCTCACGCGAGCTAACGCCTGCATGGCACTCGCTATGTGCCTAGAAACTCGCCAGAAATGTTTCCTTGAAACCACTTTTAACACCTGGGTAAGGAAAACACACAACAACATGTTAATAAATTAGACAGGTGACTGGAAAGACTGGAAAGAGACTCATTGAAAAAGCAACAAGAA